AGTACTATACTATACAGTACAATGAGCAAAAATTACAGTCCCGTGTAAACAAGGTGTACTGTACAAAAGAAGACATCGAGGCTCTATAAACAAGATATACAGAGCTGTAGAAAAAAATAGATGTGTCATAAGTGCAAACAGCAACCCTGCATCGTAAGTCCAAGCAGTAGTTAAACAGGTAGGTTATAAAATGAGGAATATCTGTGCCACTAAAAAATTCTAAAGTATTACAGAATGGGCTATATAGAAAAAGAAATGAATTTAAAACAAAAGCAGAAAGTGTTGAAGAAAAAAAAACATACACATGGAAGTATCAGTAGAAAGACAATAAACATCCATGGCTAAGGGCAGGATATCAAAAGTGATGATTACACACAGGGGAGCATTGGGTTCTATGTATGACCTCTTAGGCCCCCATCTCACACAGATAGTTCATCCATGACCCCTACAGAAAAAGGGAAAAAGGGGTTCCCTTCAAGTAAAGGATTATTAAACAGTCACTTTAATCCAGAGGCCTATAAAGCCATCCTAAGTCATAGTTTTGCTTTTCTTAATTAAAAAAGCTTTAACTCTCCCCTCATCACTTGCAGGCTGAATTGGTTTGATCCAGAGAGGCAGTTATGCATAAGAGCAACCACTCTGTATTGAATTAGGGGATCTCTCATGCAACACATTTCACCAATTACAAGGTAGGGATGCAATTCTATGATTTATCATACATTATACTGTTAAGTAATATAACATTATAGATACAATTTGTACCTATCTCTCTGCAGATTAGAGAGGTGGCACATGAAGAGAGGATCATTAAACACAGAGCAAGGGCAAGGGCCAAGCTCTTCTCTTTAACAAGCTGTTCCAAGTACCACCTCTCTAATCCATGGAGAGAAAAGAATAAATTGTTCCAGAAGCTTATTCCATATAGTGCTCTTTGAGGTTGAGGCATTATTTAAACAAAAATACAAGAAAATATCATTTCATGTAGGATGTAGCTCTCCTGAATTTACAGCCTGATCACGGGGCAAGGAAACAAGTTTGGATTTATTGGGATAATTCCTCACTGCAAAAGTGATGAGATTCTTTACACATGCACGGGTATGGATGTGTGTGTAGACCTACATCACAATGGAGGGAGCAAATCCAGCTTAAGTACAATGCATATTGGCATTCTGATTTAAATGAGGTGAAATTATTGAAATGACTCTGGATATTGTTTATGCATTGCATTAGACCACTGCTGTCTACAAAAACTATAATGCAAACCACATACATAATTTTACATAGTAGCTCCATTTTTAAAAAGTAGCAATAGGTGAAATTATTTTAATATTTTATCTAAATACATGCAAAACATACACATAATAAAAATTATTAATGATATATTTTACAGTACACATCTTATTGCAAACTAGCTTCATCTCAAGAGTTCAAAGGCCACACATACCTGTGGCTGCCATATGGGATAGTACAGCAGTAGAACTATGTATGGTTTTCTGGGACTTCAGTCTCCATTTTAGCTTCACTTCTTTCTTTGGAATTGGGCATATTTTTAGCCACTTTACCCAAAGCTGCAGAAGTACTTATAAGTAAAAAATAGATGAAATTGTGTTTCGTCACCCTGAATATAAACCTCCAGTCCACCAAGATTTAGGTTCCTGTTGTTTAAAGCTAAGCTCCTTGACCTCATCTGCTCTGTCTGTGTCTCCTAAGGCATATAAATGTGGACATAAATATCAACTCAACAGACAACCCAGACTCATCTTATTAGAACACCTTGCTTGTAATATTCTTTCCCCTATAAGGCTTCTGTACTACCACTTCCAGCTGTATTAAACTCAATTAGATTCCCTTTTGCCCTGACTACACCCTTTTATAACAGGAAAATTGTATAATCCGCTTGAATGGCAGTAAAATGAGGTAGGCAAAGATATAAGGACAGCATTAGGCTGCCTCATAAACTCTGGCTTGTCATGGGACAAGTCATTGATTTCTATTGGCAATCTCATTGTAATGTCAGACTGTAACTTGAATTCATTCTTTACTCCTCTCTGAGGTAAACAATGGGCCAAGGAGTAGAAATGGACTAGAATGAAAATACAGTAATTACTCTCAGAAATAATTGGGTAACTTGACTTGTCTGATATCCGAGAAAGCATGGCAGGTTAGCTGGGCCCCATACAACACCTGAACTAACTGCCCCCAAATTAGTATCTGCCTTTGGACCTTGGAAAAAGCAATTCAACTGTGACTTGTGTTAGAAAGCCAATGAAAGAGGAGATGAAAAGCAAATTATTTGGCAGAGGAGAAAAAAGGAGAAATTCCTTATTTCTGGAGTATCCTTACTATTTCTACTCATTAAGACATAACTGTCATACATATATGCGTGTGCATGTGCTGGAAAAACCATGAGTTTTGGAGTCTGAAAGATTTATCTTAATATTTTCTAAATCTAAGTTTTAAAAATCATACATTTTCTAACTTTAATATTTTAAATGGTTTCTACTCTTTATTTGGCATGTGATATTAGATAAGCTCTGTGCCTCTATGAACCTTAGTGTTCTCATATACAGCAATGCTCCCATGTGATGTTTGCCCAACTGCAATGGTCTAAACCACATGTATGTTCCCATGATCACAGCACACTCAGCCATATTTGGGTGGAGGAAGAATATGGCCCAATGTTTGCTCAAGAATCAGACATATGGTAACAATGAATGAAAGATAAGGTTCTTTTTGGTTTTGTTTTTTAATTGTTTTACACAGCTCCATATTACTATTCCAGCATAACTGCCTTGCCAGAAAGAACTCAGTTTAGAAAGCTGCTTCATAAATTTTATAAACCAGTCAGTCTGTTAAAAGTTCTCTTTGAATATACGTCCAGCACCATGGCAAAGTACTTTGGGGACAGGATCAGTGCAGATACTAGCAGTATTCAGGTGAACTTAGTTAAGAGTCTACAGTAGTTTTTTCCTCTGTATTCTCATAGATTATAACTTTAAAATCACACTACAATGTGTCTCTCATTAGATGATAAAGTCATGATTATGGACACACTGTATTTCTGAAACTAGAAGATAATTATGTATGTTGATTTGTGTGCAATGGTAATTAACCAGTAAGCACTTATGGAACGTTTAACACAGAGATAGATATATCTCAGCATATGTAACATAATAATCCATTATTTTTTAATAAAAAAAGAATATTCTGAGTATTTTCCATGTCACCTTATTTGAACTTTGTAGCATTCTTGTGAAATTAGTTCAATATTTCTGTATCCATTTTATGTTCCTGATGGATTAAGGCTGCCCAATTTTCCATCACCACCACACTCCTGGCCCTTACTCAAATTGCTTCTATTTACTCATTTATGGGCCTTTGTTAATCTATTGTAATTTTAAGTGGTCCAGGTGGGCGATGCCCATGTTCTTTTGGTAATATTTCTTTCTTGCCTAGAACTGTCCCTCAGTCTAATATTTTTTGATGTTCATTCGTTTCTTTACACATAAGATGATGTTAATAGATGAAAGGGGTCCTTTTAAGGGTCTTGACAAATGAAAATATTGACAAATTTATATCTACTCCTTGTTTAAATAAAGGAAAAGAAAAAATAAAGAAAAGGTTCAGTGATCAGTGAAAGCAAAAAAGGGAACTACAAATTCAAATAAAAGTGTGTTGCATGGCCCCTTTCCTCATGTATTGTGTTCTCTGTGGGCAAAACAAGGCTGAGCTAGGAATGTCCAGTGGGTAATACAGCTTTTCAACTAAAGGGAAATTTGAGAGTACTGGACCAATAAGGACCATGGCAACAGAGAAGAAAGTGACAAACAAGGTTTAACCTCAGTTGGGAAAAGAAAACTATTTTAAAAAACTTCAGAACACTTATTTTTTAACTCATTTTGGATAAAATGAAAGACTTGGCTGAGCAAAGGACAAGGAAGTGGTAAGTTCTCTTATTTGGACAGCAAGAAGATATGGACCACTTTGAGCTCTGAAACCAATTCACACGTTCTGACTAATTTGCTTAGCTTCTCTTAAACTTAGTTTCTTCTGTAAGATGGGAGAAGAGCTTAAAGGCCTCTTTGGGGTCTAAGATGCCTTATTATAGCAATAGTAATAATCAATCTGTGTACTGAGCGTTATTCAATTCTTCTAACAATGCCTCATGCAGAAGAGTATCAGACCATTTTACTTATGAGATAATTGAGACAGGCACAGTCTGACCTGCTCAAGGCCAGACATGAGATTTCAGCTCAATTCTGGCCCTCCCTTTATTCCATCAATTCTGTCTCATTAGTCTATTATGCAATAGAAGCATTATCCAAAATCCAATTTTACAAAGAAAGGAATGGTGAGATAAGAAAAAAAAGTTTTCAATTCTCTTTCAACCACCACAAAAATAACAGAAAAACCTTGAAGTTGCCGAACTAGTCCCTTGTGAGCCAGGGAACACCTTCGTCAGATCATTGTATCTCCAATATCCATTGAGGTTATCTTTCCTGATGGGGTTTTCTGCTGAGATAGATTTGCGTGTAAACTTGATAGTCATAGTATGCTATTCAGACTTGAGCCATATTTGAGATTCCTAAACTAATATAATCATTAATATCTGACATAATATGTCCATGTGTAATTAAGCAAAGCAAAAATCCTGCCCAGGCCGGTCTCCTCATTCTCTTCCAAAGACCTTTAAAAAAGAAAGAAATCATTATGGCTAATAGTGTTGGATTTCATTAGTGTCTCCTCTTTCCATCATCGTTTAAAATGCCCAGTCTCCAACAGCCACTACAATGGCAGGAGAACAGTGGAGCATCACAAATGGTGGGACAACTGTGGAGATAATCCACAGCCAAGGAGGGATAAACAGAGACAGGGCATTCAAGTCCACAATTTGACCTCAGCAAAGTTCTCAGAGGTAGGGAAGAGAAAACAAAGCAACCTGAGAGGACTTCAGAATTTTCAAAGCCTGATCCTTTATTCCTCTTTACCTCCATCTTTAAACTGTAGTTACCTGACGTCACCATTTCTGGTGCCTATCTCTGGCCAGCAATTAAGGTGGCCGGCATGACTTCATCTCCGTTCTTCCCCGCTCATCCCATCCATCTCTGTTCATCCAGGTCGTAAGTAGAATGGACAGGGAGCCCAAAGCAGCCTCTCCAGGGCTCTGGTATGTTGCTATCATATAGAGAATAGCAATATGGCTACTGGCTGTGACAAGAAGCCTAGGGAAGAACAGGAAACAAAGGAGGGGTGAGTTAGTTCTGGAGGCCAAGATTTTGATTAAAGTTCTTCTCAGGTTTCTCTCTGCCCGTGGCCTGGGTCAGCACACAGATTTCAGCCTCCTAGCCCTGGCAGAAAATAGCAGGTCCAAAGGAGCTCTCTTGTCCTGAGCTCAGAGTCACCCTTACAACAATCTCCCAGCTCCCTTCCAATTGTCAGAGATCATATTAGTGCAGTTGTGAAGGTTTGACATAAGGATGAACAGAAGGGTTGTTACTGGCTAGTGAGAGGAGAGAAGTTTCCAGTCCAAATGAGAAAAAAATCCTCCCCTAATGAATAATGCTGAGCGTGGGGGAGGAGAGTGACGTCTTGTCTCTAACTCTCCCCCTTCTCTCCTCGCCCTCCCACTGCCCTCCCTTCTTCTCCCCTCTCTCCCTCGCTCTGCTCTCCTCTTCTGTCCTCTCCACCCCCCCATTAAAGACACAAACCACAAGACAGAAGAAAATGTGTCCTCTTGTTAAAGTTTTTTCCTAGTAGGAGTCTGTAAAGGGCTCAGAGTCATGTTCAGGGATGTCATTGTCCCTATTTCCCAAACCAAGGATGCTCACAGAAGGTCAGCATCAAACACATGAGCATTTTATGGCATAGAGAGATTTCCTTGTGAAGCCTTCTTTTTCAGCATTCCTTGTCCTCACCCCACCTCAATCAGTGCGAAAACCTCCCAATGGAAATGAGTTCAGTGGTGGACTGAGGAGTGGAGAAACAGGTAAAGCTTCGAGGATCAAGTGATCAGAAAGTCAGAGTTCAAGATGCTCCAGATCCTGAGAGGGGCAGGGCCCAATTTGTGCCAGTGTGGTTGAGTCACCAAGAGGCCACATAAAATGACCTTATTTGGAAATGAAACATTAAGCTTCCCCAGAAAATAAATTAAATAAACACAGTGACCCTTTAGGTTTGATATCATTGCATTAATATAATAACAATAATAAAGCTGACATAGACTCACAACCTGTAATTTGTAAATTTAGCTTCATGTTTCATATCTGTATAAAAGTTAAAGCACATCTTCCACTGATACAAATACAAATTTGATTTCATTTTCTTCTTTCTAATTCACCCCACCCTGCACTCCTGATTAACTCTTCTGCTACCTCATTTTCTCAGGTGCTTCCTTATTCTGTATTGAGTCAAAAATCTGGGCTGTCCTTTCTGAAGGGCCCTTGAATGCCATTTAACCTGACTGGTGGTGATGTGCTCGGCAGGAGGGGAGCGATGAAGCAGAACAGGGATGATCACAAATTGAGAACTGTTCTTCCAAATAATAGAAAGGGAGAAATTAGGCAAAGCACCCTTTTCATCATCTCCCCTATCCCTGCTCAATTTTGCATAAAGAATCCCTGGGAATCCTGAAAGGTGTTCTCTTTGCATTTGTAGAATGACCCCTAAAGAGGTCACTGTCACTCCCAAGGGCTGAAAAGCTCTGGCTGGAGCTGGCCATTTCAGTCTAGCCACAGGCAGAGGCAGGCTGTGGTGGAGGGTAAGGAAGGTCACTGGGCTGGCCAGGGGATTTTCTTACCCAGTAGCTGTGTGTTTTGGAGCCAACCTGGAAATGTTAACATAAAAGCTTTCCAATAAACTACATGGTGTTTGCATATCTTATATACACCAGAGCGACAGATAAATGTCTGGTGGAAAGAAGGGAAGAAAGAAAAATGAACTCAGCTATTAAGTAGCTATAAAATGTTTTTCTCTCCTTCCTATTTCAAAAGCTTCCATAGTATAAATAGTGGTCAAAAGTTCAGTGAACTGTCTTGTAGTGTGGATCTCCATTCAAATGGGGCTACTTTCTGAGAGTCTCCTGACACCATATCTAATTTCCAAAATGAATATGCTTTAATTTTCCTTCTTCATGCATTGTGCTTTTTCCTCATTTAAAACAGCAACAGCCTCTGGCTGTAAAGGACATCACATTTCTGTGTGAGATGAAGTTTTTTTTCCCTGTATGCAGGGGAAAGGCATGGGTCAGGGGAGAAAAAATATATGCAAAAAACAGCACACCCCACTGACCTCGGTATATTTTACATTACAATTTTGCCATTTCCAATATAGGTTCATTTTGCAATGGACCATATCAACCATATTTCAGGGTTAAAAAAAGGGAAGAGAGAGTTAGGGGAGGCATTGTCTGCATACAGTATGTCCTAGTACAATGTACTGATTGTCTGATTAGGGTGGAGTGTCACCTACAGAGAACACACAGGGACACATACATAACTCCAGCCCTCAATGCCGAACACATTTGCAAAATAAATGCCACGAATGGATTTTGCCAATTAATAGAAGCATTAGGAGACTTCTTTGTGAATGTAGCCAAGAACAGCTATTTTTAATGACGTGAATGTTATATTCAGCATCTCTAATCTCACTTGAAAGCATCGATGTCCCACTACCTCATTGTGAAAACACTACAAATAGAAACTGAGCACCTTAGTGATCTGGTTATATCTAGTTATCTATAACTATATGACAAAGGAAGATACTTTAGACATAGATATAGATATACAAATATATGTCTTTAGATACATAAATATACAAATTTATATATCCATTAAATGTTATGTGTTTAATATATTTCCTTGATATATAAATATAGATATTTCAAAGGATTCTAGATACAGATATATACTCCTCAAAATATATGGCTATAAATATGAATATATAGGTAGATAGATAACATTTCTCAAAAGGATCAATATGTTCCTTTACTAACTCAGATACCTCCTAAAACTAAGCAGTTAATAAGATGGAAGTTTTACATGATGATAAGCTTCTTAAATGACATGGATATTAATTATTTACCATAACTGTAAGGTGATTGTAGAGATGGTGCATGATATTTCTTGCTAAATCATCCCCTGCCATGAATAATTATTGATGTGTTACAGTTTTTATTGGCATGCCCTTGTCTATCCATTATTCAATACAAATTTTTTGAACAGGACATAGCGGGTTAGAAGTAGGTATGAAGCTTGGCCACTGTCTTCAAAACACTTACAGTTCAGTGAAGGAAATCAAATGTATAGTCTTGAAACCACTGAAAATAAGTCTTGGGATTTGGTACATCAGATAAATCCTTGCTACTTGAATTAAGCTAGGTTTTATTGGCAATAAAATGTACAAAGTTGACAAATTAGGGCTGTCTAGAGTAGTCAAATATGACTTGACAAAAGAGGTGACAATTTGTCTGGATCTTGAAAAATGGATAAAACAGTAAGGCAAGAAAATAATGAAAAAAAAAAGGAAGCTACTTTGGGCAGAGAAAAGAGCAGATGCAAAGATGCAAAGACTGAGCAGTTGTGAGTGATTCCCTCTCCAGGTGCTGTGAGCAGACAGATACTTCAAATGGTGCGCCATACTCCAAGTAATGACTTTGCCTTTCAAAACTAAAATGAGTGATCAGTGTGTAGACCTAGTGTTCTAAAAACTTGGGTTCCAAGACATTTATACCACAAAGGGAAGTGAATGGGTACTCACTTCCTTGAGTCTTGCCCGAGCCCAGTACTGTGATCATCCCATAGAATATTCCATTACTGGTCTGACAGCAGTGAGCAATTGTTCCATCTCACAGATGAGGGAACTTCAGCTAAGAGATGTGGCTGTGCCAGAGGTCACTAGTGTTGCTGCCCATCCAGGCAGTCTAATTTCAAAGTCCAAGCACATTCAGCTAAAACACACTTCCCTTCTAAAAAGTAGAGATAGAAAGACAACCACGAAAAAGATGCCTTGTGAAAAGTCAAAAATAATTAATGGTCTTACTGGAAAGCAAATGATAAAATTAGTGAATTTTCCTTTCGGAAAAACCTATTAAAATCTAAACGCATAAAACTGATATATCAGGTCCTGATTGCTCATCAGATGGTAGTTCTTACCACAGAGTTTAACCAGCAAGATCTTCTGACACACTTAAAACTTCATTTACAGTGAATTTTAGGCACACCATAAAGAACAAAGAAAGTTGCCTAATACCAAATTCTGACAAGCTGGTTAGTTTCAATATTGCCTTACATCAATCCTATTCATCACTGATCAATAGAAATATAGGTGTGAGTCATACATATCATTTTAAATACTCTAGAAGCTATTTTAAAGAAGAAATACATGCAATTGTTTTTAGTGATATATTTTATTTCTTCCAATATATCTAAAATGTTATCATTTTAATATGCTTTTCTGAGTAAAAAATTACTGAGATATTTTCCTTTTTTTAATGGTTTCATTATCTGACATATGTTCTATATTTACAGCTCTACTCAACTGTAATTCTATTTCAAGGGCTCAGTACATGTAACCAGGGGCCACACTCTTGAACAACATACATAAAATGCTTTACATCTCTATTATAAGATTATACTTGGCTTTTATTGAAATAAACAATCGGGAACCCATATGTGCACCTCAATCCCAAATCAACCTGATGTTGAAGTTTGCATGTATTTAAAACCTTCCTAAGAACTGTGTTAATTGTACTAATGCTTACAGACCTACACATAGGTAACCATCTATCATACATAGGTGCTTAATAAATAAATTTTTGTCGATACACATTTCAGCAGTACGTAGTCAAGCCTTCTTTCTCTTCTGGGATGCTTGACAGGAAGTATGGTTGAATAAAGCTACTCAAAATCTTGAAAAGAAGTCATCTATTCTTTCCTTGCTATTTGTAATGCAGCAACTTTCAAATAAAAATTTTAGGAAAGAATTACAGTAAGCCAAGTGGGAAAGACGGTAAATTTTAAACCTAGACAGTAAAAAGTTACTGCAACAAATTATAAGAAAATAAATTATGGCTTTATAGACTTTCTTTGAAAAAGAAAGCTAATGATGCAGATATTCAAAGGGAAGAGAAGTTTTTGACATAGAGATCAGGCAAAGATGAAAGGTATCCAAGTAAAACAATCCTACTCTTTGCTAAAAAGAGAATTTTCAGCTCTGTAGTTGCAAGTAAAATTTTGGCTAAAATTGACCTATTAAGTTGTCTTCACTAAGAAATACTGTCACAACATTTTGTGACTACCCCTCGTCCCCTGCATTCATATAGGTCTCTTATCATGGGAGATGTCAAGTCTTAGCTGTTCATCTACAACCAGTGACATTGGAAGAAAAGGGTCATTTTCGCTAAAATGAGTTGGACACCATGTTAATCCCAAGGCACAGTTTAATCCTAAGGGGCTGTTCAAAGGCTTTTAACTTTGAGGGATTCCTATAGTCATTCACATCAGACCAGTGATCCCAGAAACATTTAACTCTGTAGATATTCAACTCGATAGCCCCAAAGTTTTTCAAAATAAAGGAAAGAAACTTAATATTCGTGAGCAGCAATTATTCCTGCATACAGGTTTTATTATCCAACTAACCACAGGGGAAGATCAAGAATCCAAAGCACAAGATGAACTGGCAAAGTAGGCAGCACTTAAGCACAGGCCAGGTCATCATTCCCCATTTCATATGCCTTTCTTTTTTGGAGGGGGCGGGTACCAGGAATCAAACTTGGGTCCTTGTGCTTGCGCAACAGGCGGCGAAACCACTGAGCTAAATCCCTGGCCCTCATATGCCTTTTTGGAAAGTGAGAAACAGTAATGTCCCCTTAAAACTTCCCAACTAACTAAAATAACTAGAAGACTACAGGAAGGATATATTGGCAACAATTCAATAATCAACCAAAGGAACAATACATGAACATTTTAATTAGATAATTTAAATTAGGGTTGCAAAGAAACTATATTAGAGAGCAGATACTAGAATTTATCAAATGTGGAGTCCAGACACAGACAGTGCAAAACAAAATCAGGCAGCAGACCTAAAAATATTGCATAGTTGGATCTTTTCCTCCAGTACTTCAAGTCTGCAGTCTTTTTCCCATGATGCCCTCTTGATTTGCAATTTAAATTGTGGTATCTCTACCACATTTATCGCACCTATTCCTTATCCACATATAAATCTATTTTAGAGCTGAGCACTAAGTTAGAAAGATTTGTTATAAATGTCTTATTTTAATATTTTATGCATGTACTATAATTTGATTCAAAGTGCTGTTTGTCTAAAATACATAACGATGTGTGCTGTGATCAGGCTTCTGTTCTCCAGGAAATATATTTAAGGCAAAACAATTAACTCATCTGTGTATAATACTTGCGGAGTCTGCTCATGTTTTGAATCATTTTAATACACATTCATCTTCCACTCCCTCTTCTATGGAATGTTGCTATAATTTGGGATGTGAGCATCTCACCTTCTCTAGGACTGGATGGGAATTCTTTCTTAACTTTCTTTTCAATCCTCTTTCCATAATAAAATACACCCTGTTTGAAACTATTATTGCATGTAGACCAATGACAAACAGGCCCAAGAATCTGAATAGAAGGGCAGAAATAATTGTACTCCTACTAATGTAAGGCACTGTCCTAGAATCTTTATTCTATTTACATTAATTCTCACCCCCAAAAAAACCCTTATTATAATTCCCATATTACAGACGGAGATAAATCAGAGGAAAAAAAAAATCATACAAGGCCTTCTATGGGTAAGTGTATAGCTTCTTGGACCCCAAATCCTTGTTCTTTCCACACATCATGCTGCCACCAGCACATTTTAATATGATACAATTCAAAATGGGACCATTGAACATAAAAGTTAAATTTTGTGATACATCACTCAGCCCTGTTTTCCAGCTCATTGAAGACATCCTCTGGTGTCTGGTGAGTGACTGAAGAAATTGCATTTGTGATGCAGTTCTTACCATCTCCTGAAGATGATGCATAAACTTGGCCCCATTAAAAATAAGTTCTAATGGTGTGAAATATATAAATAAATAACATGAAAACTAAAGAAAAAATGAAACAATAGATCCAGTCTATTTAAATCATGTGCTTGCATTCACATACCGATGCAAAGATTCACCTTGGGAAACATAGAATGGAGGGCAAATCCACCCTCACCATCCAAAGCCCTCTAAAACAAGGCAAAACTAGGTAAGTTAAAGAAAACCTTCCCCAAGAGGTTAAATACCTCTGTTATTATTTTTCACAGTGTCAATACCTCGATTCTTGACACAATTTCAACTTTACAATTGTGGTACTATTTGATTAATATCTGTTTCTTCTATAGATTCTCTCTTTTTTGTATAGCACATAGGAGATACTTAAGAATCATTACTTGAATTCATGAACAAACGGTGCTTGCATGAATCATGTATCCCCACTTAACACTTCATATGGATTGATCTCATGAATGGATTTAGGTATATCACACCTAGGCCAACCAGGCTACATTTCTCCTGCCTAACAATTGCCCTTTCTGGTCCTGATCTTGTAATTTGATCCTTCCTGCCATCTCCAATCCTACCTCCGAAGTGAGACCTGAAGCAATCACTCTACTACCTCAAGCAGGAAACTTCTAGTATGTGTATGTAAATGCGTTACATGTGTGTGGCTGTGTGCAAACAAGGAGGAACCCTCAGGGCAGGGATAATAGCACAGTCCACTTTCCTTTCATGGTTATCTGTTAAGTCTTGCCTCTCATGTGAAATAATGTTTACTTGAGGGCAAGGTGATTACTCATCTCCATCTCCTCAGTATAGTTTATACATAGTGTAGTGTAAACAAAGGGATCATTTGAACCATGTCCCTGAAGGGAGTCCAGGGAGCAGAAGCCTGAAATCCTCTAGTAGGGAAGGGCAGTAAAAGTTTCGATAAATCTCAAGCCCACACAGCCTCAGCACCCCCAGAAGGGGTCTTCCCCAAGGACAGCCCTCATACACCTTGTGACATACAGATCAATAATCTACAGCCCTGGCAGAAAAGACTCAATCACCAACCATTTGCCAATGTCAGTACTCAGCTTACATTCCTTCCCCTCTACCCACCATGCCTTTTTTTGGCAAGGGTTTGTAGGATACCAGATTCATTGGTCTGAAAAGCCTTATGTTCATCAGTAAGGATATGTATTTGCTTCGCCAAATTTCATGGGAATACTGACGTTTTTTTCTTAATTGTTACTTAATTTTCTTCAAACATGCATTTGCTAATACCTTTGGCAAGACCTGATGGATTTTTCTAATTCAACTGAATTTGATGATCAATAAATATATTGAGTTCCTACTATGTGCATGGCATGGTGCTAAATATGGCAGACAAAAAGACCCTGATTAATACCAGTTTCAAAGGCTCAGAGTTTAATGAGGAATAGAGACATCTATGCAAATAACTATAATACAGCTACTGGTCCTTTTTGGCTTCCAGATTTTAAAGGAAAATTTGTATCTGCCAAAGAAATTGCTTAACACTGGGCTCATTGGCAATTCTAAAATTTCTATCCAGGAGAAATTTAGAGGCAACAGTGTGTTTGGAAAGGGCAGAAGCCTTAACATCACAATTATATAGCTGTGTATATAAAATGGAAAAATGAAAGTGTCAGTTGTTCACATTAAAGCCTAAGGAGCTAGACTGAAGATTTGAGGTCAGAAGAGGATATGGTATGAGAAGGGGATGCCCCTGGATACCAAATGGAGAAACTTTCAAGAAACACTAATTCTGCTCACTGCTTTTTTCTTTCCTGGTAATCATCACATTCTATAATTACCTTGTTTTATTTATATTTACGTGATGATATGTCCTCTTCACAAGAATGGCATCTCATGTATGTAAAGAAGTTGTCAGTCTTGTTTGCTGCTCTGTCTCTAGTGGTTCCTGCTATCAAGTCAGCTCCAGGTCAGCATTTGTTGAGGAAATGTATAGCAAATGTCAGAGGATGGTGACCTCATTAAAAAAGCACAATGGCCTCACACTTTATCCAATATAGGAGACTTGAGAAGTCTTCTTATTGGTCTACATCAGAATGGGAGAAAGGGTAGTCACATTTTACCAACAGTAATTATTTTGATTTGTGATGAGCAGTGGAAGTAGTGGTGGTTGCACACTGTATGATCATATTTGCACGGGAAAGAAGAATTTTATTTTTATTTATTTATTTATTTATTTATTTATTTATTTATTTATTTTATTTATTTATTTTGGTACCAGGGATCGAACTTGGGTCCTTGCACTTGCAAGGCAGGTGCCGGAACCACTGAGCTAAATCCCCAGCCCAAGAATTTTAAAAAAGATCAGTATCAAAGGATGACAAGGCCAGGGCTTCTAAAGAAACTCTCTAATCAACCACCACTCTCTATCTAGAATAATTGTCCATGGGACTCCTGGACTCATTTGCTCATCCAAAGGTTTACTTACTAGTGTCCCTATAACTGTCTAACTTTTTTGTTTTCCCAACCAAATTCCCTGAAGAAGAGAAAACACCTGCTGAGACCACTTGTCTGGCATCCTGGGAAGGGCTCAAGAGGACTGTTTATCTATTTTATGACAGAATTTTTCATGCTCAATAAATTCTGCTGCTTGGTAATTGCAATCTTGTGTGTGGTGTATTCCCTCTCTAATGCTCTAGATCCCACTTTGCTTTTACAATTATGGGTCTGGTACCCTGTAGGAGGTTTATTCTGGGTATTCAATGATCTTGAAGGCATCAAACAGCAATCTTGCTATGTCCTCTCATGAGTAATCCAGGAGATATCTACCTCTGACATTAACTATGCCGTTTTAACAAGAAGATATAATGAGAACAAAAAATACATGTATTTCTCCAATTTGTATATGCATTCGCATCAAAATATTCAGAAAGCAAATGCCATAACAAGTCATTTCTACAAAAAAATGGGTAATAATAGTTCATTCCTCTTTTACACTAATTATTTCCCTATGAGTTGCTCATTACACACCTGCATTTAGAATGGAATTTGATGTTAGAAGAAGCAAGCAAGAAAATAGAGCACCCACCTTTTGATTCAGAGCCAAAGAATTCTCCCAGACAGAAGGCTGAGTCACAGGCAGTCACTTTGTACATAATGCCACTGACTGCAAGGTGAGAGTAGATGCTTTGTTCACCTTAAATCAGAGCTTACTCTTTCCTAGTAGAAAGAAAGTTTATTACATTGTTCAATTATCCACCATCCACATCCTTTCCAAATAGAAAAGGAAAAAAAATCCTTCAATAATCTATTGATGAATTTTGGTGCTATCTTTAAACATAATAAGCAGGTTGTAGGATAGGTCTGTACCTATATAGGACATATGCCAAGCTGGTATGCACCTATGCTAATACCTGTGTTAGGTCACACTCCATCATCAGAGCTCCATCACTGGTCCATCATCACTGGCTGTGGCAGACAGAGAAAGACCTAGTCAAGGTCATAATGGGAATTTTTTTTTTACGCAGAAGACATTGCCAGTTGCCCAGCAAAATCATTTGATGGTAAAATACACCCTTCACCAAATCTCCAATAATGTTTACTCCTATTTATTTCCTTCAGAGAAGTCTTCACAGTCTGTAATTACCATGTTACCATGTTTATTTACTTGTTTATCATATGTCTAACCCCCATATTTACCATATTGTTATGGCTTGTGTCTAGATGTCCCCTCAAATCTAATGTTATCACAGATGGGGCTTTTCAGAGGTGATTGGATCTAGTGTGTGATTCTGAGGTTAAGTGTGTGGTGTTGAGATCAATGGTGCATGATTACTAAATTAGTCCACTGATTTGGCATACTTCTGGGTAGGATTAAGGGTGCTCCACTCTGGGTGTGAGTGCTACCTGCCTCAAGGGGAGGTAGCTTGGATAAAATACAAGGGATAGAAAGAGGGTTAATGTTGTGGCTTGTCACTTGCTGCTTGCTACTTCACTGTTGGCTGCCTTCTTCCTGCCCCACCTGCCATGGACTGCTTCTTGTCTGTAATGCCCCTCTGCCATGTGCTACCCTGCCTTGGAGTCAGCCAGTTATTGACTGAACCTCTACAAACTGTGAGCCAAATAAACCTTTCTTCCTTTAACTTTGGGTGTTGGGTATTTTTTCTCAGCAGTGAGAAAAGCAACCAAGACACATATGTACAGAGAACTTGTCATAAGTCCACTCTGATCTATATAATGGTTCACTACCTCATTTGTACCACCCCAATACTGCAATTAATAAAAATTTCCTCCACAGACAAATTTTGTTCAGCTTTATGTTTAATTCTATTACACATAGTGCTTAAAAAGTTTAATTCTTACTCTACATAGCACCTTAGGCTCCTAATTGGTTACAAGTGACAGAAACTCACTCATACTAGTGGGAAGTCAAGAGAAGGGAAGTTCTTTGTAGAACAATAAAAGTTTCAAGGAAAAACTATAAAGCCAGTCATCAGAGTTCAGAGAACAGAAAAATATGCAGCTTGGAGACTCATCTTTCAACCTAGTGTTGCTTTTTCCTTGGCTCCATTGTTTTTGATAGCTTTAATTTGTATATAATGGGCAAGACCGCAGTCTTTAAATGTATGCACCTACTGATAGCCAACAATTGTGTCTCAATATTCAATCACAGAATTGTGGAAGGTGCAATTGGATTGGCTCAACCCAATTTTTCTTAGGAGTGTGCCAAGATGTGTCATCGGCATGCATATTGGTAGCCACATCCCTCTACTGAAGGTCCATCATGATCAGCTGAGGCCAGCAAAGAGGGAAAGAGATCCAGGTCATATGAGAAGTAGAGGATGCACAAGGTCAGAGCCCCAGAAGAGATGCAGTAGGTAGGCAGTGCATGAAACTCAGAGGAGTACTGCTCAGTTCCCTACAGTCATGGTGGTATTTAGAAGTGTCTTACAACATATTCCATGGAGCTTAAATGACATTCTTATCTCTCACCAACAGAAAAACACAATGAAAAGAAAGGAGGGATACACCTTCTACAATAGGTTCCACTGGATATCTGTTACTATATTTCTCTTTCCATTGTTTTGGCAAGAGCACTTGTAATAGTGAATTTTTGTTTGTTATTTATAATAATAAAATAATTAATATGATGTTCATTATATGTCAGACACTGTCCCAAGCTCTTTACATGTATTAGTGAGTTTAATTTCCACAAAATTCCTGTGACGTTAGTACCATTATTAATCCAGTTTTTAGATGAGGAAACATGATGACAAAGAGCTTAGCTACCACACAGCTAATAAATGATAGGGTTAGAATTTGAAGATGGCTCACTTTAAATGCCTAAAAAAAAAAACAACTGTAACTGATAACATAAAGTGCCACTTGATTCTAAATCCCTTTTGATATTAGAAGCTTCACTAATGTCGCAGTTTGATGACAACCAATAATAAGTGTCAACTTTGCCTTTCCGAAGAATTGGTTATATCCAGCCTTATTTTTTGCCTTCCATTTGCCAGTTGTTAATTAGAATTCAAAGGAGGTCTTACTAGTATTAAAATACAGAGAGTCCAAAAGAATTCTCTTCTCCTGGCTCTTGGACAGCCATGGCTTGGGATGAAAAGAGGCCACTGGCTCTCAACATGATGGGGAGAAGACACTGATCTGTCTCACTCCAGGAGATTTCCAGAGCCTGCCCTCCTCACTTCCATTTTCAAAGATTTTTTATTTCACCCTCTTGATAAACAAAAACAGATTTCTTGGGGGAAAAAATAGCATAACAACTTTATTTTTTTTCCCAGAAAACCACTTTCACAGCAGATGGAACTCAACATGCTATCACCCAAATCTGTAGCAAACCTGAAAGATGAAGAGTCCCTTATATGAGGACCTCGCATCCTCTCATTTTGTGTGTCTTTAACTGACACTTTGGACTGGTGTACACTTCCTTAATCTGTCCCCATTATCAGCCTAATAACACCTCCCAATATTCATAAATGCCTAGCAAGACTTTCAGCTATTTTATACAAGGGAGAAATATCCAGCTAAATTGAGAAGATTACCACATCACCACATACATCAGTGACAGGCTCTGTGCTATTACAGTTGATTTTTGTTGACAGTTGGCTGTAGGCAGTTGTGTTTCAAATGCCTTTTTTCACTGGGAAATTAAACAAAATCCCATGCAAAATGCAGCCCTCCAGTTCAAAAACTGTAAATCCCAAATTAGCATTTCATACTTTAAAAGGTAGCACAGCACAGTTTTCCACTGAAAGGTCTGTACAGTTGACACAAATGGGTGCTTCAGACATGACACTAATGCTACTACTGCCTTTTAAGAAAGCCGCCTTTCTCAGAAGATATTTTCCCCTCTAGGTAATCTGCATATGCTGTGGTTCTTGCCAATGGAAGGACAAAAAGAGGAGGGAGGGAAAACATCTGACTACTGCTTTCAGAAAATTATGCTCCTGAAATTTCTAAATCATAAATTTAAGAGAGATGCGCTAATTAAATCTTCAAACGAGAAGACTGAAAACCTAGGTCTGAGAGATTAAAAATGACTTTTTTGCTAAATATTATAAAGCAAGAGATAACTCTGAAGCCTAGAAAGGCATCAGTGCCTGGACAGGCCTGGTCTAGGAGCTTCCCAACTTTACTTAGAAACAGGTTAAAGCCCCATTTAACAAAAAGTTAACCTGTGGGTGAAAGCTATGGGACTGACATTGAACAGGGCCATTTGATTCCTAAGCTTGAAAATCTATTTCCTTTTTACCTAGGAGACCCTTCAGAATGAAAGTTTTAAACAGCACCATTTCTTCATCAAGGAACAATTACTATTTAATTGGAAAACCAAAAAACAGACAGTAGTTGTCAGCTGGCCATCCAGGACACAGATACATTTACAGAAAGAAATGCAATGTTTATTTCTGGACCGTGGCACAAGCATAAAAGGCTAGTCAAGCAATTTCATTCCAATCCTTTCCCGAGCATCTCACCAATAGTACTTGACTCTTAGCCATATAAAGTCAACTGTCCAGTGGTCAGAACTATTGTACTAAAGCCAAATGGTGATGTATAGTCTTGGCCCTGTCTCTTGGCCACTTTTAAAGTTTGAAGTAGAACTATGTTTATTTTTTTTTAAAAAAAAAAACCTTCTAAATATGAGTGTGTGTCCCGTATGTCTCCATGGTCAAAGGAAAACCACCCTCAATTCTACAGAATGAACATGCAAAAATTATTATTAGACTATTTATTTTAATGATGGCTAAATGTGTGGGACCAAGTTCATGTGAGCAATGGAGAACTTACTTCACCGAAGTTACCATAAACCCAAAATTCTTCCTAGGACTTGTCTGGATTAAGATGTAAATCTCATTCCATTTTTATCATTCTTTATTGACCATGTTATAAGGGTAACTAAGTAGACCATGATTTCAGATAAACTTTGCTCCTCATAACTTTGGTGCTCATCAAATCTAAAGAAATTTGCTGAAGTGAAAGTCTCTACTCTGTCTTGCCCATCCCAATAACATAGCTTGTCTCCCTACAAAGGAAGTCTACCTTAAGAAGGTGGTCTTATGAAAAGTACTCATGTTAACTAACCTAGGGTGATGGAAAGCAGATCTGTATGCTTTCTGGGGGCTGGGATGGTATGAAAATTGACTGCACACAGGCAAGTGGAAATTTCAGAGGTGGTAATACCCTCTGCTGATTTTGATGGTGGTCACATAGATTTTACATGAGTTGAGTTTACTGTATATTCAGTACTGTACACGTCAATAAAGTTGATTGGAAAAAGTAAGAATTAGGACAGCTGCCCTCCCATTAAGCAGAATTTCATGCATGTGGAATTCAACACCATATCAGTGTCATATCAAAGGAACCCTAAACAATATGTAATTTGTATTTTGGGAGATGGGTTTTAATTTATTAATTCTTTAACTATAGTACCACAAGTAGCAATATTTTCTATTTCACTCTTTTTTAAAATAATTCTCGAACTTTTCATAAAATATTAGAAAAACCAACTATGTAGAACTAGCAATTAGAATGTTTTTGAGACAGGGTCTCTTTGAGGTACTTAATTGCCCAGGCTAGGCTTGAACTTGCAATCTTCTTGCCTCCCAGAGTTTGAGGTAAGACAGGCTAAGCCTGATAAAGCCAGGAACTTGTTATTCTATCTTGTGTCAATTTCCAAAACAAAACCTAAAAGTAACGGCAATAATAAAAATCTCAGCTGAGTTTTAAATGAAAAAGAGAATTCCTAAATTTCCATGGAATTATTAAGAGATCTATCTTTTATCTTAGTTC